GGCAAGCCTCCCATCTCAGCCTCCCAAGTAGCTGGAACTACAGACCTGGCTAATTTTTGTATTTTTTGTAGAGATGGAATCTTGCCATGTTGCCCAGGCTGGTCTTGAACTTCTGGGCTCAAGCAATCCTGCCTGCCTCAGTCTCTCAAAGTGCTGGGATTATAGTCATGAGCCACTGCATCTGGACAAAGCAAAATTGTCTTTGTGTTAACACTGCTGAGACCTTTCCCCACTTTATGATGTAACCAAATTCCACTGGAATGAGTCTTAAACTCAAACATTGTAAGTATGTGCAAAGAATAATATTTGCGAGTTATGTGACCAGGATTTTTCTATTCAGAAGCAATCTAGCACCAGCACCTCCAAAATCCAGGGCCCAGAATTGGTGGCTAATATTTGAGACTACACAGGCAAGTAGGGAGGAATCGGAGTCTCACAAAGCTAGAGTTTTGCAAGGGGAAGCCACTGGAGAATTTTAAAAGGCAGACAGACAGGTTGGGTATGGTGGCTCACGCCTGTAATCCCAGCACATTGGGAGGCCAAGGCGGGTGGATCATGAGATGAGGAGTTCCAGACCAGCCTGGCCAGCATGGTGAAACCCCGTCTCTACTGAAAACACAAAACTTAGCCAGGCATGGCGACACACGCCTGTAGTCCCAGCTACTCAGGAGGCTGAGGCAGGAGAATTGCTTGAACCTGGCAGGTGGAGGTCCAGTGAGCCAAGATCGAGCCACTGCACTCCAGCCTGGACGACAGAGCGAGACACCATCTCAAAAAAAAAGGAAGACAGACACGAGATGTAAGTCTTAACGATCACTTCATCATAGCTTGTGTTGGGAGCTTGGACAAACGTGATGCTAAGAATGTGACATATTTGAGATCGAGAGGAAAAGGACATGTAATCTCACTTGTGCCTTCCATGGGGCTGCTAAGGTCTCTGAACTGACCCATCCTGGGAGAGGCCAGGTTTCTAGTCAGACTGGAAGAACTTCAGTTTTGGACACTAGTTTTCCATGAGAGTTGTTGAGGTATTCTAAGATTTGGGAAAGAAAAGGAAAATTGAAGCAAACAGAACGTTACAGGGCCACATGGAGAGAGCTCAAATAGATGGTGATTTCAAATTAATGTGAGAAAACTAATAGCACTTCTATATCCAGATAATGAGAAAATGCAATAAAAGGAATGATTCTATCCAAATAGAAATGTCCAAGACTTTTATGAAATACTTTAAAATCTCGGCCGGGTGCGGTAGCTCACACCTGTAATCCCAGCACTTTGGGAGGTGAAGGCTGGCGGATCGCTTAACCCAGGAGTTCCAGACCAGCCTGGGCAACATACTGAGACTCCGTCTCTACAAAAAAATTTAAAAAAATTATCCAAGTGTGCTGGTGTATATGTGTGGTCCCAGCTCCTCAAGAGGCTGAGGTGGGAGGCTCACCTGAGACTGGGAAGTTTCAGGCTACAGTGAGCTGTGATCACACCACTGCACTCCAGCCTCGGCGACAGAGACCCTGTCTCAGAAAAAAAAAACAAAAAGAAAAACTAACTCACTTGAGGGCATCGAAAAACTTAACAAATTATTCAAATTCAAGAATGAGAATACTCAGTATTATAAGCAGGTAAAAAAAATTCCCTTATGAAGTCATTTTTTAAAAACTTGCTCAAAATGATTCTAAATGTTAATGGGAAAAAGAAGCACATGAGACTAGCCAGGCAAATGCTGAACAAACAGTAATGATGAGGTTTGGGGCTGTGGATTTTTTATTTTACGTATTTCCACATGTTCAAACATGTATTACTTTTGTAATTAGAGTAACAAGGAATGGAGCATCAGCAGGAGGTGTAATTAATAGTGATCTATCCACTAAAAAGACTGAGGTGGAAAGGAAGGACATAAAGATTACATTACTCTGAAGAAGAAATATTAACTATGCAGAAATAAGATCAAGGATGTTGATTATCAAGGAAGACTATGGACAACTGTATGCCAACAATTTGATAACTTAGGTGAAATCAACAAAGGTCAACAAAGAAACTGCCGAGGCTGAAGAAGAAATGGAAAAGTCTGAATAGACCTAACGAGGCCAACAAACCTGTAAATTCACAAACTGCCCAGGGCTGACTGAGGAAGAAATGGAAAAATCTGAATAGGCCTATAGAAAGTAAAGAGATTGCGTTAGTAATTTTATATTAAATTACTAATATATTAATTGAATTAATATACTTCTCACAAAGAAAATGAAAAGCCCAGGCCTAGATGCTGTCACTGGTGAACTCTACCAAACATTAAAGAAAAATTAATACCAATTCTTCACAAATTCTTCGAAAACAAAACAAACCAACACAAAGAGACGAGGAGGAGGAGGGAGTGTTTCCCCGCTCATTCTATGAGGCCAGTATCACTCTGATACCAAAACTGGAGAGCCTATGAAGGAAAATAAAATACAAACCAGTATCCCTTTGGAATATAGATGTAAATCTCCTCAACAAAATACTAGCAAACTGAGTATAGCAATATATCAAAAGGATCGTGTACCATGACCAAGTGGTGTTAATCTCACAATGCGCGGTTGGTTTAACATCTGAAAATCAATTAATGTCATGCACCGTATCTGTAGACAAAGGTCAAACACCAAAGGAGCATCTCAACACATGTAGAAAAAGCGTTTGACAAAATCTAACACCATTTTGTGATGTCAAGTGATCCGCCCGCCTTGGCCTCCCAAAGTGCTGGGATTACAGGCATAAGCCACTGCACCTGGCCTAGGGATGCATTTCTTTTTGGGGTGACAAAAATGTTCTAAAATTGATTGTAATGATAGTTGTCCAACCATGAGTATTCTAAAAACCATTGTATTACGTACTTCAAATGGACGAATTGTATGGTATATAAATGATATCTTGGTTGGGCATGGTGGCTCATGCCTGTAATCCCAGCATTCTGGGAGGCGGAGGTGGGAGGATTGCTTGAGGCCAGGTGCTTGGGACCAGTCTGGGCAACATAGTGAGAGCCAGTCTCTTAAAAAGAAAAAAAAAAAAAAAAAAAAGAAATTAGCTGGGTGTGGTGGTGTGTGCCTGTAGTCCCAGTGACTTGAGAGGCTGGGCTGGAGGATCTCTAGAACCCAAGGGTTTGAGGCTACAGTGAGCTACAGTTGTGCCACTGCACTCCCGCCTGGGGTGATGGAGTGAGACCCTGTCTCAATAACTAACTAACTTGGCCAGGCTTGGTGACTCATGCCTGTAATCCCAGCACTTTGGGAGGCTGATGTGGGTGGATTACTTGAGGTCAGGAGTTCAACACCAGCCTGACTAACATGGTGTAACCCTGTCTCTACTAAAAATACAAAAAAAATTAGCCAGCCATGGTGATAGGCACCTGTAATCTCAGCCACTCTGGAGGCTGAGGCAGGAGAATTGCTTGAATCCGGGAAGTGGAGATTGCAGTGAGCTGAGATCGCGCCATTGCACTCCAGCCTGGGCAACAATAGTGAAACTCTGTCACACACACACACACACACACACACAAGTAGAAATACCATAGAAATCCATGGTACACAAGTGTGTGTGTGTGTATGTGTGAGTGTGTATATATATATATATTGTTAAAGCTGTTATATAAAAACTAAGTGAAACTTGGCAGAACAATATCTATTATGCGAATACATTTTTGTAAAATACAAGTTCTTAAAAAAACATAATATTCTTAAAATTGAGCAGAATTTGTGAAGCAGTGCAGAAGAGGAAAGTAACTCAGAGTTTTCTCCCCGATGGTCACTTGCGCCGTATAGCGAGCAGGTCTGGTGACAAACTGTCTTAACCATCATTGGTACTACCTCATGACTCATTAATAAAGTAGTAAGAGCCTTAATTGCATTATTTTTGTACATCAACACTGTGCTAAGTTCTTTGTTTTGGAGACAGAGCCTTGCTCTGTCGCCCAGGCTGGAGTGCAGTGGCCCCATCTCGGCTCACTACCACCTCTGCCTCCCGGGTTCAAGTGATTCTCCTGCCTCAGCCTCCTGAGAAGCTGAGATTATAGGCATGCACCACCATACCCAGCTCATTTTTATATTTTAGTTGAGAAGGGGTTTTTCCCTGTTGGCCAGGCTGGTCTCAAACTCCTGACCTCAAGTGATTTGCCCACCTCTGCCTCCCAAAGTGCTGGGATTACAGGTGTGAACCGCCCTGCCCAGTCTGTGCTAGGTTCTTAACATGCATTTTATCATTTTTTTGTTCACACCATCCTGATGATGGCCCCATATTGTTTTTAGCACCCTCCCCCTGCTTACTGTTTTCCAACATATCAAAGTTTACATTTACAAAACCGTATTATTTATTGGAATAGCAAAAATGCATAGCTTCTTCTATTGTTAGCAGTACCTATAAGGATAAATACTTTGGGTTATTTGAATTGGTTTTTATGTGACTGTATGCAGTATGAGCATATTGGTAGGCCAGGTGCAGTGACTTATGCCTGTAAACCCAGCACTCTGGAAGAACAAGGAGGGGGGATTGCTTGAGGCCAGGATTTCAAGACTAGCCTGGGCAACATAGTGAGACCCTATCTCTACAAAAATCAAAAAACAATTAGCCAGGTGTGGTGGTATGTGCCTGTAATCCTAGCTGCTGGGGAGGCTGAGACAAGAAGATTACTTGAACCCAGGAGTTCGAGGCTGCAGTGAGCTATGATCATGCCACTGCACTCCAGCCTGCACCACAGAACAATATCCTGTCTCTTAAAAAATAAAAAAGTATATTGCTAAATCCATCTGAATGTGTTTTAAGATTTTTAGTTTAAAGCATTTTGTATTTGTTATAGTTGATCTTCAGTTTGAGGAGAAAACACTTTTTAGATGGTTTTTGTCCATTTTTTTGTTTAATGTTGATACAGGTTTGAAAGTCAAAGCTTTGGCAAAGATAATTGTACAGTCTTTTGTTCTGGTGTAAACATGGAAATCTTCTCCTTAATGCTAACCTGAGCAATTTTTCTCTGTTTTTAGTATTATGTGCCAAGAACCTTGCAAAGAAAGACTTCTTCAGTAAGTAAACACTTTTTTTCTCTCTTGTAACATTATGCATGTATTTCTGAAATTTTAAAATTTAAAAAAAGATAAGGTGTATTCTCTTAAGTTTTAGTAGAAATCCATGGTTTGCCAAACTTGATTTCCCAATTAACTACAACCTGAGGGTTCCTTAGCTGAAAGACACAGAGCTTAGAAATTATACCCAAAAACCTTTCATTTCCCATTCTGGCCATACCCTATTTTCTCTGCCTCTCTGCCCATTATAATATTGCTTTCTGCTGGATGACGTATTCTCAACTCAAATACAAATGATATTTTTCTATGAAACAGCTGAATTTGCATAAAATTGTTAATCGCATTTTATACATTAAATCACATTTACAACACCCTGTAATTAAATTGTCCAAATAGAGACTCCTTTTCTAAGGGAAGGAATCACTCCTTAAGAAAGTCACTTAGTATCTGCTAAGTGCCTGCAGCAATTAATTGTCGCACAGAACATCTTTCAGTTCCTGAGTAGTAGTATTCATGCTTTAACGATGAAGAAACTTGGGCTCAAAGGCTTTATCCAGGTGGTGAGGAAACTCCTGAATGGTGGCTGGTGTCCAGCTCTGTCTCTGACACCTGTATACTTTGCCACCTGTCTGATCTAATAAACCTGTCTGATCAGTCTCTAGCATTAGGGACTTACCAAATCAAGACCTGGTGCATACTTACTTCCATAGATAAGAGAGGTAAAGATCAGTAAACAAGATTTTGGGGCATTAATAATTTTTAGAAAGTCTAAATACAATTACTTTCAGACACTTCCCTCCACTGAGCCTCACTTAATAGAAATTTGAATGTAAGCCTATTTTTTCAGTCACTTTCTTTTCTGTCCTCTAAAAATCTGAGTATGGAGGCATACTAGGTTGTCTCTCTTAGAAAGCTCAATAGAAATAACTTATTTTGCTGACTGAAATTATCCCGAAATTAGAGAAGAAAATGCACACAGGTAATCTTTACCAAATGAGGTGATCCCGAAGCTCCCTTTAGCCTGAAAGACTGTGTCTGTGTCATATGTATGAATCTGAGGTCTCATCTAGGTGTGGGTCTCCTCTCTCCTCTAGGGCTCCCTGACCCGTTTGCAAAGATTGTCGTGGATGGGTCTGGGCAGTGCCACTCAACCGACACTGTGAAAAACACATTGGACCCAAAGTGGAACCAGCACTATGATCTGTGAGTTGAATGTTCTGGAAGCCACATGGGGAGTGGCAAGAAAGCAGGTGTCTAGCTTTTATGAGAGACATTTAAGAAAAAAAATGACTTTTTATTAACAAAAGCAGATGGCCAAATGAACGTATATGTTGTCTAACTGTAGAACTCATGCACTTGGAAGTTCTTGCATTTAGTACTTTTTTTCTTCTTTTTTTTTTTTTTTGTGAGATGAAGTCTCACTCTGTCACCCAGGCTGGAGTGCAGTGGCACGATCTTGGCTCACTGCAACCACCGCCTCCCGGATACAAGGGATTCTCTTACCTCAGCCTCTGAAGTAGCTAGGATTACAGACATATGCCACCATGCCCAACTAATTTTTGTATTTTTTTAGTAGAGACAGGGTTTCACCATGTTGGCCAGGCTGGTCTTGAATTCCTGACCTCAAGTGATCCGCCCACCTTGGTCTCCCAAAGTGTTGGGATTGTAGGCATGAGCCACTGTGCCCGACTGCATTTGGCAATTTCATAGATTTTTATGGCTTGGTTTTGTACCTGTGATCCTCAAACTTTTCAGTATCTTGGCCATTTTAGCAGGAAAAAAGGCTGTATCGTTTGTGAACTCCACATGCTACTGTTTTTCAGCTAAACCCTAAACCTAGTTGTAGTTTCTACTTCAAATGCATTATTATTACAGTATGTTTCTGTTGACTTTGGAAATTTTTGCTTTTTTTTAGTACACATATTTTTTGCAACAGAAAATATGGTTTTATTTTATCAAAGCTATCAGATAATTTCTTGTATTCATTCAAAAACTGGCTTGCACTTTGAAAACCACTACTTTATTTAATTTTTAATTTAATTAATTTTTTTTTTTTTTTGAAACAGAGTCTTGCTCTGTTGCCCAGGCTGGAGTGCAGTGGTGCAATCTTGGGTCACTGCAACCTCCTCCTCCTGGGTTCAAGTGATTCTCGTGCCCTCAGCCTCCCGAGTAGCTGGGATTACAGGTGCCCACCACCATACCTGGCTAATTTTGTAGTTTTAGAGACAGGGTTTTACCATGTTGGCCAGGCTGATTGCGATCTCCTGACTTCCGGTGATCCGCCTGCCTCAGCCTCCCAAAGTGCTGGGATTACAGGTGTGACACTGCTCCTGGCCGTGAAGATCACTATTTTATATGCACCCGTGTTTTCATGTCCCTGCTAAGATATTTTTGTCAAAGTAATCCTGAAAGCTTATTGTCTTTTAAGTGACACAAATTATACTGTATTTGGGTGGGGTTTTTAAGAGTTATATTCTAAGATTCAGTTTCAGTGACACTGAGGCTCTGTAAGTAGGTTGAAAAGTGGCTGTCAATTATTGTCCTGAAAGTTCCTTTCTCTCCATGATTGGCTTGCAGTGACAGTAACTGGAAGTTTAATGTCTTAGTGTCCTCTTGTGTACTTGGAATGGATCCATAGGTTTGTAAGTAGTCCCTTGCTGCAAACCAGTATTCTATATTAAACCTAATTAGTGAGAATTTATGAATCATGTTACTGTCCTATGCAACTATTAAAATACAGCAAATTCGCTGGGTGCAGTGGTTCACACCTGTAATCCCAGCACTTTGGGAGGCTGAGGCAGGCGGATCACCTGAGATCAGGAGGTCGAGACCAGCCTGGCCAACATGGTGAAACCCCATCTCTACTAAAAATACAAAAATTAGTCCGGTGTGGTGATATACGCCTGTAGTCCCAGGTTCTTGGGAGGCTGAGGCAGGAGAATCACTTGAATTTAGGAGGCAGAGGTTGCAGTGAGCTGAGATGGCGCAACTGCACTCCAGACTGGGGGTAACTGAGTGGGACTCCATCTCCCCCCACAAAAAAAAGAAAGAAGAAAAAGAAATACACTTAAAAATGAGTTTTGTACTTTCTTTCCAGATATGTTGGGAAAACAGATTCAATAACCATTAGTGTGTGGAACCACAAGAAGATTCACAAGAAACAGGGAGCTGGCTTCCTGGGCTGCGTGCGGCTGCTCTCCAACGCCATCAGCAGATTAAAAGACACCGGATGTAAGAATCAAATGCTTTCCTGCCTCTTAATGCAACCGAAGAAAGCTTAGGAGGCATCGTTTTTTGTTTTGATCACTGAGTACTGATCCTGCCTTCCTCCCTAGTTCACGTTCCTTGGGTTAAGTTTTGAATTGTTTGTTTACAGACCAGCGTTTGGATCTATGCAAACTAAACCCCTCAGATACGGATGCAGTTCGTGGCCAGATAGTGGGTAAGAGCTTTCTTTTCTGTGTAAAGAGATGCTTTCCCAGAACTTTCTTTCAACCCTTCATCACTGAGAACTCACAGGCCTTTGACAGGCCTCAAAGGCAGACTACATACAGGGCTTTCTCTTCATCTTCAGCACCAGGAAGTTTTATCTTATTTGGTTTTTATTATTTTTTCTAATTCCCTTCTCCTGGCTTTTTTCTTTTTCTATTTTTTTGAGATTGAGTGCAGTGGTGAGATCTCGGCTCTCTGCAACCTTTTCCTCCCCAGTTCAAGTGATTCTCCTGCCTCAGCCTCCCAAGTCCCTGGGACCTCAGGTGCCTGTCACCACTCCCAGCACATTTTTGTATTTTCAGTAGAGATGGAGTTTCATCATGTGGCCCAGGCTGGTCTCTATCTCCTGACCTCAAGTGATCTGCCTTCCTCGGCCTCCCAAACTGCTGGGATTACAGGCATGAGCCACTGCACCCGGCCCCCCTTCTCCTGGCTTTTAAAGTCGAGTTAAAATGACTTGGGTACAGAAAGATTTAGGGTTAGAATTTTAAATGTCATTTTAATCATTACAGTAATGGACAGTGCCTTTGTGACTGTATTATGCAAGTTTAGATAAGACGAATGGTGGCCACACATAGGAGAGCTGGGAAATCATTTCTTCTGGAAGCCCCATCATATGAGTAAAGAGCAAAGAGTTGTGAAGAATTCCATGTGATACGATTTGTAGTCAGGGACTGCATTATTTGGAATGAACAATTAAAATGTGCTAATGTTGCGGTGCTGGCTGGTGGCAGTCTGAGGGAAGTGATTTGGCTGTTTAATAACTCAGCTTATTATCCACCCGTTGGCTTCAGTATTTTTGAGTAACTCAAATACTGACTTGTAAGCACTCACTACGTGGAATCAGAACAGTCTCTCTGCAGCACACTGGAGTGATGGTAACTGCAAATCTTTTAGGCATTGTCCTACGTAGACAAAACCCAAGGTAAATGAACACTACAGGCACACATCCTGAAATATGCCACAATGGAAAAGTTCTCACCTAATGCTTTCCTGTGTGGAATTTCTTTTTTTCTTTTCGAAATGGACTCTCGCTCTATCACCCAGGCTGGAGTGCAGTGGCGCGATCTCAGCTCACTGCAACCTCAGCCTCCTGGGTTCAAACGATTCTCCAGCCTCAGCCTCCTGAGTAGCTGGGATTACAGGTACCTGCCACCACACCTTGCCAATGTTTTGTATTTTTAGTAGTGATGGGGTTTTGCCATGCTGGCCAGGCTGATCTGGAACTCCCGACCTCAGGCGATCCACCCTCCTTGGCCCTGCAGAGTGCTGGAATTACAGGTGTGAGCCATTGTGCCCATCCTCTCTGTGTCTTTATTAAACTTAAGTCAAAATGTTCTTAAGAAATAAAAACTGGGCTCAGTGGTATATGCCTGTAGTCTTAGCTATTCTGAGGCCAAGGGCGGGCAACACAGCGAGACTTAATCCCCTTCCAAAAAAACTTATTTTTAATTTTTTTTTTAATTTAAAAAACTTCTTTGGAGACACAGTCTCACTCTGTCACCCCAGCTGCAGTTCAGTGGTATACTTTTAGCTCACTGCAACCTCCGCCTCCTGTGTTCAAGCGATTTTCTTGCCTCAGCCTCCCGAGTAGCTAGGACTACAGGCGTATGCCACCTTGCTTGGCTAATCTTTGTATTTTTAGTAGAGACGGGGTTTTGCCATGTTGCCCAGGCTGATCTCAAACTCCTAGGCTCAGGTGATCCACTCGTCTCAGCCTTTCAAAGTGCTGGGATTACAGGTATGAGCCCCCATGCCCAGCCCAAAAAAGTCTTCTTAAAAAATAAAACTTCTTGGCCAGGCGCGGTGACTCACACCTGTAATCCCAGCACTTTGGGAGGCTAAGGCAGGCGGATCACCTGAAGTTAGGAGTTTGAGACCAGCTTGACCAACATGGAGAAACCCCATCTCTGCTGAAAATACAAAATTAGCTGGGTGTGGTGGTGCATGCCTGTAATCCTAGCTATTCCAGAGGCTGAGGCGGGAGAATCGCTTGAACCTGGGAGGCAGAGGTTGCGGTGAGCTGAGATCATGCCACTGCACTCCAGCCTGGGCAACAAGTGAAACTCCATCTCATAAATCCATCAATCATCAATCTTCTTAAAAATAACTTAGAGGGACTGAATATCACGGTGTTATTTTTATGTAGACCAGGAGGAACATAGGACCCTTTTCTACGCCACATTTACAAGAAATATTTCCGATAGCATGCAGCTACTGGAGTAAAATGCTTTGTATGTGAAAGCATAGGAATACGTGTGTGTATACATACACATACGCCTCATTTTTTTCGGCTATTGTACATAAATTCTAAATGAGCCATGACTCACTGTATTATCATTATGTAAACCCTACTGGGTTTTAACACACGTCATTCTTTTCTCTTTTAGTCAGTTTACAGACACGAGACAGAATCGGCACCGGCGGCTCAGTGGTGGACTGCAGAGGCCTGCTAGAAAATGAAGGGTGCGTATAACCACAGCGAGAGGTGGGCCGAGTTCTCTGCTGTCTTAACCTCTCAGCCTCTGTGAAAGTGTCTTTCCCTCCTTAAGTCACTCTGGGGACTGCTTGAGGTGCGTAAAGGATGTTGGGATAAAACTCTGAACAGTTTACTTGTCTATAAAAGAAGCTGTAAAAACAACTGGGGTTGTGCCTGAAAGACCCAGAATCCAATTAAAGTGGCTCCCATGGGCCAAAGATGGGTGAGTTTGAGCATCGGTAAGAATTATAACTGCCTGGAATCCTAGCACTTTGGGAGGACAAGGTGGGCCGAGACTTTGGTCTTGAGTTTGAGACCAGCCTGGGCAACATAGCGAGACTTTGTCGCTACCAAAAAATAAAAAGATAAATTAGCCAGGCATGGTGGCATGCACCTGTAGTCCCAGCTCCTAGGGAAGCTGAGGTGGGAGGATTGCTTTTGAGTCCAGGAGTTTGAAGTTGCAGTGAGCCCTGATCACACCATTGCCCTCCACCCCCGGTGACACAGCAAGACCCTGGCTCAAAGGAAAGAAAAGAATTGTAACTGCAATGAATTGGAACATATCAAATATATTAAAAATCCTTGGGTTCACAGTGACGGGGTTCACAATGACGGGGGAAAAAACTCAACACGCTGAAAAAGAAAACAAACTGGTGAACTCTGACTGGTCACTGTCACAGCTGCAGCCCCCCCTGAATTAACGGACCAGGCCAACAATCATTAATCATCGCTAACGACAACACGAAAGAGATGATCCAACATGAACACACCTCTTGGAAATACAGGGGACTGGGAATGTGTCTCACGGCCCCAAGGGAATGCGATCAACAAACATCCAGATTGGGGCCCTCTATGGGCCAGAACACCCAGTGTCTTCAACAAATAGACTGCAAGAAAAAGGAGGGAGAACTTAGCATCAATTCATATTAAAAGAAACTTGAGACATAGCTACAAATGCGAAGTGTGGACTTTGAATCCTGATTTACGACAGTTGGAGAAATCTGAACACTAGTATTTTTTTTTTTTTTGAGACAGAGTTTTGCTTTGTCAACCAGGCTGGAGTGCAGTGGCGTGATTTCAGCTCACTGCAACTTCCGCCTCGCAGGTTCAAGCGATTCTCCTGCCTCAGCCTCCCAAGTAGCTGGGATTACAGGCACGCGCCACCACACCCGGCTAATGTTTGTATTTTTAGTAGAGACAAGGTTTCACCATGTTGGCCAGGATGGTCTCGATCTCTTGACCACATGATCCGCCCACCTTGGTCTCCCAAAGTACTGGGATTACAGGCATGAGCCACCGCACCTGGCCTGTTTTTTTAAAAAAATTGATGAACTTTTTTTAGTCATGATCGTGGAAAAAGTCCTTGTCTTTTAGAGGCATAACGTAGACCCTTTTAGAGGCTGAAATATTTAAGGATGAAGTCATAAAATGGTTGGTGAGGAGGGACTGGAAAAGTGGACATTGGAAGATGGTTAGCTGGGAGGGGTGGATACGGGGGGTTCACTGTGCTGGTCTCTTAATTTTATGTACATATTTGAAATTTGTCAGTCCAAGATTTTATAAAAGTATTTGCTTATAAGGGACAGTAGCCTATTAAGGTAAATTGTCTTCAAAATTGCTCAGGGGGTGAAGATTGAAATTTAAAAACTACCTAAAGGCATTTTGGTATTTTATGTAACCAGGAGTTCCATTATAGAGTAAAATAACAAGGAAAATGGAGTATTTAGATGTGATTTATTTTGTTTTCGAGATGGAGTCTTGCTCTGTTTGCCCAGGCTGGAGTGCAGTGGCGCAATCTCAGCTTACTGCAACCTCTGCTTCCTGGGTTCAAGCAATTCTGTGCGTCAGCCTCCTGAGTAGCTGGGACCACAGGTGTGTGCCACCACACCCAGCAAATTTTTGTATTTTTAGTAAAGATGGAGTTTGACCAGGCTGGTCTTGAACTCCTGACCTCAAGTGATCTGCCTGCCTCAGCCTCTCAAAGTGTTGGGATTACAGGCTTGAGCCACCACACTGGCCTGGATATGATTTTAAATCAAGAAAAATGAAATCTCATTGTGCAAATTCCTCACAGTATAAAGCTGGTTTCTTCCATTCATTCCAGTCTCCCCTATGGTGAAATTGTACAGTTGGCCTTGGTGACACTCTGGCCACCTGTTCCTCTTGGAAGTGTCTGTCTTTCTGTTTGAGTGGCCCATGATGAATTTTTACGAAATTGGAACACTCGAAATTGTTAAAGGAATATATGTGAGGGTGTCCCCTAGGACAGTAGCGCTAAGGCGCTGGTCTTATGACTTCTCCGTGGTGTCACCATGCCTACCTGTTCTCGTCCCTTTCAGAACGGTGTATGAAGACTCGGGGCCTGGGAGGCCGCTCAGCTGCTTCATGGAGGAACCAGCCCCTTACACAGATAGCACTGGTGCTGCCGCTGGAGGAGGGAACTGCAGGTTTGTGGAGTCCCCAAGTCAAGATCAAAGACTTCAGGCACAGCGACTTCGAAACCCTGATGTGCGAGGTTCACTGCAGACGCCCCAGAACCGACCACACGGCCACCAGTCCCCGGAACTGCCTGAAGGCTACGGTGAGAGAATGTACCCTGCTGTGGCCAGCGCCATCTGCCCTGTTTCCAACAGCTTGACTTTGTTTTTGAGACAACGTCCTGCTCTGTCACCCATGCTGGAGTGCAGCGGCATGATCATGGCTCACTGCAGCCTTGACCTCCCTAGCTCAAGCGATCCTCCCGAGTAGCCGGGATTACCAGCAGGCACCATCATGCCTGGCTAATTTTTTTATTTTGTAGAGAATGGGTCTCACCATGTTGCCCAGGTTGGTCTCCAACTCCTGGGCTCAACTGACCTACTTGCCTCAGTCAAGCAAGTGCTAGGATTATGGGCGTGAGCCACCATGCCCGGCCTCTAACCCTTTCCAGTAGCCTGTTTGTGTATACATGCTGATGCTCGCATGGCTATGCCATTTGGTAATTGTGGCAGTGTAAAGGCAGAACTGGAAGCAGATGGTGCGAAATCTAGCTAATGATAAATTTTTAGCAATTGCTCCAAATATTCCAGTTTCGAAATCATGTGAAAATCTTAGGCAAGTGAAAACCAAAGCGAACCAAGATAACATGCAGGCAAGATGAGGGTCCCCGCAGAAGGAGGGCATGGGGCAAGACTGAGAAGAAGGGACTACTTGGCCGCCTCAGAGAGAAGAGCCGGCATAAGAGAGGGAGTGCTGTCTAGATTTAGACAGTACCAGAAGTGAGGGCACAGCGGGTTGGTGGCAAACCCTCTTTGGAATTGAACTTGCCTAATTTGGATCCCTAATTTCTCATGCAGAACAGAGAACAACAGTCCAGGGCCAGGTTTACTTTTTGCACACACAGACTGGAGTTAGCACGTGGCACGACCCCAGGATACCAAGGTAAGCTTCTGAAAGGCACACCCTCCAAGCTCTTTCCAGCAGTTGACTTGAAAAGCCAATAGCCTTCCAGATGTGTTGCTCTTGCTTTAAACTAAAAATATCGATGAATGAGACGATATTGATGTCTGGGATTTGCTTTAGATAAGCTGGGGTGGGGGGAAGAGTGGACAGGGGTATGTGAGAAATAAGGTTGGCCATGAGCCATTGTTGACCTTTGAAACAAGGTTGACCGTGATCACTGCTGAAGTTGGTTTCACAGCGATTCATTATGGTCTCTCTCATTTTTGATATGCTTGAAATTTTCCATAATAAGTCAAGGAAATATAAAGACTCTGTTACCCTTTCTCTCTTCTACTTTACTGTCCCCGTGCCTCAGTCCCTTGGGGACCATTCCTGGGGGAGATGAAGCTTTTCTATACGAATTCCTTCTACAAGGCCATACATCTGAGCCCAGGTTAGAGAGACACCCCCACCCCGTAACAGAGTTAAGTTTCTTTTTCTCTTTGCTTTGCTTTTTTTTTTCCTTTTAGAATAGCATTACTACTGAATATGATTTTTAGTAATGCTTATTTCCTTTTTATTTATAATGTTTCATCTGAGAATAAACTTCCTGTCTTTGATTTTCCAAGTCTGTGTTCGGTTTATGACTCAGTGCCTCTAATGAGAATGGAGATACGGTACCTGCGAATGAATGAGGCATCTCTTTAGTACCCACTGTTAGAAATGGCAGGCTTTTGTGTGAATTAGAAACACATCTTGGTCAGTAAAGCTGCACTCCCATCTGACTGTAGATTGTGTTGAAATTATTAATCAAGAGAATAAGTAATGATTCTTAGAATGGAAAATACTTGTTTAATAAAAACCCATTTGACCATGAGAATGCCTTATCCTGGTGCAACTGTTTAGAATCATGAATTTCTGGATGCATGTTCCTGTATTTTCCTTAGCCCTGAAAATCTTGGTGCTGTCTGGGAGCTTTTCAATGAAGAAATTTTTCTGGCCTTGAGTATTTAATTTCTCTTGTGAATTCAGATAGCTTTCCAGCAGCACTAAGATACTCCCTACTATTTGGGCCTTCTTTCGTATAAGAAATTATATTTGCTGGGGAGCCCCTGTTCCTTATCATGGTTATAAGCTCTCAAAGTTCCTTTTTGTTTGTTTTGTTTTTTTGGAGATGGAGTTTTGCTCTTGTCACACAAGCTGGAGTGTAATGGTGTGATCTCAGCTCACTGCAACGTCCGCCTCCCTGGTTCAAGTAATTCTCCTGCCTAGCCTCTCAAGTAGCTGGGATTACAGGCGCCCGCCATAACACCGGGCTAATTTTTGTATTATGAGTAGAGATGGGGTTTCACCATGTTGGCCAGGCTGGTCTCAAACTCTTGACTTCAGGTGATCAACCTGCCTCGGACTCCCAGAGTGCTGGGATTACTGGGAGCCACCGCACCCGGCCTGAAAGTTGCATTTGTAATCTCTTGGATGTTGCTGCCTTTTGCAGCAGAAGGGTCTGGACTGAGTAGAGGTTTGGTGTAAGTAGCACCACGAAGGTCCATCTCAGCAGAGTTGGGACAGACACCTTGATAAGGAACCTCTGTGGCTTCTGTGGCTGACCTTTGATCTCATTCCTTTGTACTCAGTTGGACCAACCTCTCTGTATCTTCCCTTTTGGTAGAGACCTTAACAGTGTGAATTGTGATGAACTTGGACCACTGCCGCCAGGCTGGGAAGTCAGAAGTACAGTTTCTGGGAGGATATATTTTGTAGATCATAATAACCGAACAACCCAGTTTACAGACCCAAGGTTACACCACATCATGAAGTAAGATTTAAACATTTTTTTTGCTGACCTCTTTCACTGAGAATCAAATCTTTTCTTGGACTGATATTTTTCTGAATTTATCTACTGCCTTGCTGGTTGGATAATAAGCGTGGTCAAAATGACGTTAAGCATTTGGTGGATAATTGCGTATCTTAAACCGTTAAATGAGCTGTGAAGAGCATTGAAGCCCTATGTTGCTGCTACCCTTTTCTTACTTGCAGCCTGAATAAAATTTACCGAGATGAAGTGTTAGGCAGCTTCATGAAGGAAGCTTCCTGAGGCAGCACTTTAGACACACGTGGCCCTTAGGTTGAGAAGCAGAGAAATGTGATATCCCTCTAGTGCCTGCACAGTGGGTAACTTGGGACTGGGAATTATCTTGGTTCCCATATTTAGTGTTCTAGTCCCGTCGTGTTCTCAGAGCCAAACATCCCACATAGCTTTTTTCTTTTCTTTTCTTTTGAGACAGAATCCTGCTCTGTTGCCCAGGCTGGAGTGCAATGGCTCGATCTTAGCTCACCTAGGTTCAAATGATTCTCCTGCCTCAGCCTCCTGAGTAGCTGGGATTATAGGCGCCTGCCACCACGGCCAGATGATTTTGTATTTTTAGTAGAGATGGGGTTTTGCTATGTTGGCCAGGCTGGTCTTGAATTCCTGACCTCAGGTGATCCGCCTGCCTCGGCCTCTCAAAGTGCTGGGATTACAGGCGTGAGCCACCACGCCCAGCCCTCACATAGCTCTTGTAACCGACAGCTGTGTCTCAGTGGCAAAACTTGAACAAGACAAATGCCACTTTGCCACTGTACTAATCCTAGTCCTTTTACGGAAAATTTTCTCTCAATGAGAAGGTGTAGAAAACTCTTGGTGGTAAAAATGAGGGATGATTCTCATTAGAGTTCACTCGAGCTGTCTGCTCTTGTGCCTATCATTAGATTTCATCTGAGCTCTTTCTGTTAGCTCCTTTAACATTGTTTCCCATCACCTCCATTTCATTCTAATGGTGCATCTGACAGAGCACTGGTCCATCTCATGTGTGCGTAACAGATGCATAATAAATGACAGCAGTTTCCATTTTTATTTGTAGTAGTCATGTGTGAGATAAGTGGTTGCTTGGAATTGGGGTACTTCTTTTTTTTTTTTTTTTTCTGGAGACGGAGTTTGGCTCTGTCGCCCAGGCTGGAGGATAGTGGCATGATCTTGGCTCACTGCAACCTCCGCCTCTCAGGTTCAAGCAATTCTCATGCCTCAGCTTCCCAAACAGCTGGGATTATAGGTGCGCACCACCATACCTGGCAGATTTCTTGCATTTTTAGTAGAGACACAGTTTTGCCATGTTGGCCAGGCTGGTCTTGAACTCCTGACTTCAGGTGATCCTCTCACCTCAGCCTCCCCAAGTGGTGGGATTATAGGTGTAAGCTACCATGCCAGGCCTGGGGTGCCTCCTTTACTGTACTGTAGACTTATATTTGGGCTTCTGTGGCCATCAGCAGCTTTGACACAGCTAGCAAGGTACATCGTTATGTCATCAGGGAAGCAAATTCTGCCTGAAGTTGTGTGCAGCAAGCTCTCTCCTCCAACCCTGTCGCATATGTGGGTGCTTGCAGCTTTCTTGGCTGGGGCTTTGGAGTGACTTTCTGTGTCTCTTCTTCTCAAGTCACCAGTGCCAACTCAAGGAGCCCAGCCAGCCGCTGCCACTGCCCAGCGAGGGCTCTGTGGAGGATGAGGAGCTTCCTGCCCAGAGATACGAAAGAGATCTAGTCCAGAAGCTGAAGGTCCTCAGACACGAACTGTCCCTTCAGCAGCCCCAGGCTGGTCATTGCCGAATCGAAGTGTCCAGAGAAGAAATCTTCGAGGTAGAGAGTTCAGGGCCACTGCCCAGACCCTGTTCAGAAACAAAGAAGGCGATTTAGACAAAGGAATTGCAGACGCCTTTGTTTCAAAGGGGCTGCTTTCAGTGAACTGTTTTGTGGGTGATGTCTGCATTTCAGGGAGCCCTTCTTTCTATTTGGTATTTTGGGTATTGATTTGATTACTGAGGGAAATGGAGAGTTTGTCAGGACCACAGCCTGTGTAGAGGGAGGGAATGGTATTTATTTCCTTATGGTAAAAATGGAGAAACTCTAAATAGTTCCACCCCTAGGGGAAAATCTAGAGGTATGTACAGAAACTTGAAAAAATTCTCAAAAATAATGGGAACCGCCTTGTCTACATTATGTGGGTGAAATATTCCGGCAATCTGCACTTTCCCCAGAGCCAGGAAGCCTCCCTCCTGTGTCCTTGTGTAGGGATGTCATCTGAGGATGGTCTTTCTCAGAGCAACTCAGGGCTGGGGGCCGTCCTGCTTCTCCTAGGGAAATTGGTGAGGAGCAGGTAGTTCTTGGGACAGGCTGTCCCTTACACAGGTTCCTGCAGGAAGGGCCCTAAACAGACTAGGCCCTTTTCCCAAGACAGCCAACCATACCAGAAAATCTCCATGGCATTTGGACCATTTCCTGCTCTCCTCTGTGGAGACACTGTCAGAAATGATCACAGGAGACTGAGCACAGATTCTCCCTGGGTGACAGCTGCTACAGGAGCACCAGGGGCAAGAGAGCCGAGCGCCTTCCCCACAGTGAGGTGTGGCCTGGGTGTTGGATGGGCAGTTTGGCCACAGTGCCCAGCCCTGTCTGCTGCACATCTGCCCAAAAGTGCTGAAGTATTGACTTTACTACCAGATCATTTCCTCTTTCTTGCCAGAGTTTGATTTTTTTTTTTTGAGATGGAGTCTTACTCTGTTGCCCAGGTTGGAGTGCAATCTCAGTTTACTGCAACCTCCACCTCCCAGGTTCAAGTGAGTCTCCTGCTTCAGTCTCCCAAGTAGCCGAGATTACAGGCGTGTACCACCACACCCGGGCATTTTTTTTTGTATTTTGAGTAGAGATAAGGTTTCACCATCTTGGCCAGGCTAGTCTCGAACTCCTGACCTCAGGTGATCCTCCCACTTCGGCCTCCCAAAGTACTGGGATTATAGGCTTGAGCCAACGCATTGGCTGGGTTGCTGGAGTTTGAATTTCGTTAAATCTAAAGCTGAAAAATTCTTCAGTGCCTTGTCACTGAACGTATCTACAAACATGCAGCAGCTTCTACTTAAGGTGCTGAGTCAGAGGAAATAGCAGGTTGATCACATGTGCTCTGTGCAGTGCTTAAGCCACCTTATGTCTTACTTAAAAATTGAAATCTTTTTTGCTTTTTGACTCAGTGGGAAATCAAATGTGATTTTTCATTTTAGATATAAAAACAGTCAGAACTCTCTTAGCATTCAGACTTCCCAATGTCTTGATTTTGTTTGCAATGCCTAAGTTGTTTAGAGTGTGCACTGATATTAACTGATACAGAAAAATCAACTCTAGTGAGATTTGTCTAAGTCCTCGGTGATTCACTGAAAACAGACACGTGTTTCCCTTCAGGTTAGCGTTTCCTGGCGTTGTTTTGTTGGTGTCTCAAAGGGAGAAACTGAGAAGAAAGATGATGGAATAGACTAGATGCCAAAGAAACATTCTAATTAGGAGCCAGATAAAGCTTGAATTGGAATGAATACTTATTCTTAACCAGGTTCCGTTATCAATAACCTTTATAACTTTAAGAATAAGAACCATTCTTCTCTCTGAAACTGTAATTTTAATGTTCAGGAGTCTTACCGCCAGATAATGAAGATGAGACCGAAAGATTTGAAAAAACGGCTCATGGTGAAATTCCGTGGGGAAGAAGGTTTGGATTACGGTGGAGTGGCGAGGTGAGTTGCGAATTCATTCACCTTCTCTGCTGCGTGGATTTCAGCATAGTTCTAACAGTTTTTTCAAGAGAAGTCACTTGCCCTTCTCTAGTGCTCATCACCAAGCACTCCTGGGCAGGGCCGATGTATCCTTGGAGCAGTCAGGCCATCGTGCGCTGGCTTCAGCCACCCTGCTGAGAATAAGAATTCAGAGCTTGTGCCAGCCTCTTGCCATAACCCACCAGAATAGCCCTGATTGTCACCACTGACTGACTTCCTGTAAAGCTGGAATTAAACTTTTAAACTCACTCTCTTCATCTGAAACTTAAGGGACATGTTCCTGAATTAGCACAGGAGGCAGCCTTGCTTTCCTCTCCACAGGGATTGCATCTGTGCATGTAAATTGCATGTAAATTACATTTGTGTTAAAGGAATTTTGCAAGATAAAATGTTGAAATTTTGGTCAAAATAATTCAAGAAATTGATATAAAAAACAGAATAGAATGATGAAAAGCTGCTATTTCATGTCCTGCCTCTTTTCACCTTCAAGACAATTGTGGGTGGTTTTGTCATTTTTTTTTTTTTTTTCTATGAGACAGGGTCTTGCTCTGTCGCCCAGGCTGGATACAGTGGCACAATCATAGCTCACTGCAGCCTCGACCTCCTAGGCTCAAGCAAGCCTCCCACCTCAGCCTCCCAAGTAGCTGGAACTACATGTGTGCACCACCATGCCTGGCTACTTTTATAAGTTTTTTTGTAGAGATGAGGTCTCACTATGTTGCCCAGGCTGGTCTCAAACTCCTGGGGTCAAGCCATCCTCCCATCTTGTCCTCCCAAAGTGCACTGCACAGGTGTGTGATGTTTCTCGTCTGCATCTTCCGAGAGACTCAAACTGCATGCAGTCGGGAACCCTGTCTTGTTCACAGCTGATCCCCAGTTCTTAGAACAGCACCTAACACATAGCAAACACTTACCTCTGTATATATGTACCAGATGAATGAATTTTACTTTTTGTTAATTTCTTTGCACATTTCCTTGCTTTGGTCGTTCTGAAATGCTTGTGACTTAGCCATCAGACTCCCTGGTTTGGTTTGGTAGGAGTTACCTTCCTTCTGCATTTTCCTTAGTTGTCCAGTCTTCTGTGTGGAGATAGGTCTTTGTGACGTCCCCTTGAACGGCATGATGCTGGAGTAGAAAGAGTTGAGAATCCCTGCTTTGCCACCTCCAGCTTGGTCTTGTAGTGTTATTTCACCACTGGAGTCTTCCTCCCATCTAAATGGGATCATGCCTATCTCAGAGAGGGTGGAGAGAAGTCAGTTGCATGTGGATTACACATGTGCAGGTGTGGATTCATTATCTGATCTGTGAGAGCCAGGCTACACTCATTTCCCCAGTGTTTAGTCCGCAGTCCTTCCTGTAGCCGCTCTCTCTTGCCTTTAGTTATTGCTTCCCTTACCACTTCCAGAGCAGAGCTGATTGTATCTACCTCGTCCATGGCGTTTGCTTGTATTGTAATCACTTCCTCTCTAGACAATTGCAGGTCTTTGTCTTTTTCAAAAAAGGTTCTTCTCAAATCTAAACTCCAAACTTTGGAATGAAAATTCAGCAGTGTTGCTTTGTAGTAATCGGAGTCTCATCTCTTCTGGCAGTTCCTTTCTGTTCTTCTGAGTGCAATACAGAACTGTTTTCATTTAATATTTTTTGTGTATTCTAGCAATTTTCTTGGACAGATTATCTGCATTTGTGCTTATCCTTCCCTGTGCTCTCTCATTTCTGTTTGAAAAGTCCAAATAAAATTTGGAGCTGCTATCTTAATGTGATCCATTGAAAAGGCGTTTTGAGTAGAATGAATAAAAGATTGTTTGCGTATCTGCCACAGGTGTTTGTCTAAGAGTTCCCCTGCTAGCTGGGCTTATCGCAACCTGAGTGTAGCCACTGAATCATACAATCTCTATTTAAAATGCTTTCTTTTTCTTTTTTTTTGCTTAACTGTTTTGAACTTTGGAGTTAAAAAAATAATAAAACGATGAAAACATTTAAAAAATTCAGAAAATAATAACTCGGGCCTGGTGTGATGGCTTACACCTGTAATCCCAGCATTTTGGGAGGCCAAAGTGGGTGGATCATTTGAGGTCAGGAGTTTGAGACCACCCTGGCCAACATGGTAAAACCCTGTCTCTATGAAAATACAGAAGTTAGCCAGGCCTGGTGGCACACGCCTGTACCTGGAAGGCAGAGGTTACAGTGAGCCGAGATCGCGCCACTGCACTCCAAACCTGGTGACAGAGTGAGACTGTCTCAGAAAAAAAAATCTAGAAATTTTAGCACATATAAAATGAATGAATGTTTTTTCCTAGGGAATGGCTTTATTTGTTGTGCCATGAAATGCTGAATCCATATTATGGGCTCTTCCAGTATTCCACAGACAATATTTACATGTTGCAAATAAATCCAGATTCTTCAATCAACCCCGTAAGTATGAATGAACAAAGGGGAAACTGGGTTGGAGAATTTTTGAGATGGAGTTTCAGTTTCATTCTCCGTTCTTGGTTTATTCATGTAGACTTAAAGGCGGTGGTAAGCAAAACATGGAAAGGTAAAGTGGAAACTGGATTAAGATGGATTTTGGTCCTGTATTTTCAGAGATTGTGATCACTGGGCATGTTGTGTTGAAGGAGATGAAGAGGGAGATCGAGCTGTTCATATACTCAGGACACTTCATGGTCACTGAGGAAACTCTGGTGTGATGACTGTATTTGTTAATGGTGGCATTCTAAGGAGTGGATGCTGAAGTCCAGTCTCCTCCTAGTCACAACTGGAATCTTTCCAGAACTGGCTTAAGCCACAAATGCCACCCTTAGCGTGCTTGTTTTAGAGATGAGGAAGTCAGCGTGGTGTTTGCACACTCCGCCTGAGGGTGGGCCACCGGCCAGGGGCAGACTCCTCCTGTGGCACGGCCTTCACCAGCGTCCTGCTCAGGCCACTGAGGCGAAGTTGGGACAGGCTCCCCTGTGCATTCAAATGTGGAAGAACCTTTTACCAACATGGAAGCAGAGTTTTCACTCATTTTCTGAGATGAACATAATTCAAACCTGAAAGCAGAGGCGTATGGTTCCTGAGTTAAAAACCAGACGGCTCTGGTTCTAGAATGGTTTTTTTTTTTGAGACGTAGTCTTGCTCTGTTAATCAGGCTGGAGTGCAGTGATGTGATCTCAGTTCACTGCAACCTCCGCCTTCCAGGTTCAAGCAATTCTCCCGCCTCAACCTCCCGAGTAGCTTGGATTACAGGCTTGTGCCACTGTACCCAGCTAGTTTTTGTATTTTTAGTGGAGATGGGGCTTTACCATGTTGGCCAGGCTGGTTTCAACCTCCTGATGTCAGGTGATCTGCCTGCCTCAGCCTCCCAAAGTGCTGGGATTACAGGCACGGGCAACCACGCCCAGCCTAGAATTGTTTATTTTACTTGGCTTATTCATACATATTTTCCTGTGGTCTTTTTGTTCCCCCTTCTTAGAATTTCTTCCCTCCCTCATTCCTTTCATTCTGGATCAAGGGAGGGGTGGTGGAAGAAGGGGGCTTGCCCTTGTCTTTCTTGTGCAGTGGGAGGGAATGCAGGGCTGGCTTCCTGGGCGTGCGTCCTGCAGGATGCCGCGGCCCTGCAGTGTCAAGGCCCCATGCTTGGTTTGATTCTGTTGTCACAAGGTGAAATGCTCAGTCGTTGCTGAACATGGGCTCTGCATTTTCATTTTGCACTGGACTGGGCTCCTCTGCAAGTTATATAGTCTGAGGAGGTATTGGCCCTGAAATTGTCCAGTGACTCTATGCAAATTCAGCTACACAAGCAGCCTTCTTTCACTTGCTCATGAGCCCGGCCTGTGAGTTCCTGAGTTGCCTCTGGGACACTCTTCCCAAGAAGACTCCCACATTGACCAGCGTTGTGCTGATGAATTTGTGTTTTCTGGTGCCCCCTACAGGACCACTTGTCTTACTTCCACTTTGTGGGGCGGATCATGGGGCTGGCCGTGTTTCATGGGCACTACATCAATGGGGGCTTCACAGTGCCCTTCTATAAGCAGCTCCTGGGAAAGCCCATCCAGCTCTCGGATCTGGAATCCGTGGACCCGGAGCTGCATAAGAGCCTGGTGTGGATCCTGTAAGTATTGACTGATGGTGCACGGTTACCTGGCGTGGGACATGCCACCACCTCTGTTGTCTGCATGCATGCGTGTGCGTTTGTGTATTTTGGGGATGGGTGTGAAATTGAAGAAGAGACACAAAGAAGCCATTGTATTAAATAACCTGAAACAAAAAAGAAGGTTCTTTGGGAGGCCAGAGTGGGCAGATTGCTTGAGCCCAGGAGTTTGAGACTGGGCCTGGGCAACGTCCTGAGACCCTACTACTACAATAAATACAAAAAAAAAACCACCCCACCAGATCTAGCCAAAGAAAAAAAACAAAAAACTCAGTTGCCTTATTTTCCTTGTGATGTTGGGCCGGCTTCTCTTCAGGGACTAGATTCTTTCATTTCCTTGAATTATGAAGGTAAGATCACGAACTTTAACAGACTACTCCCCAGGCTCGGGGTGTGTGTGACACTCACGGGAGTCTCCAGTTAACCTCACAGGAGCCAAGCCCATATCAAAACAAATTGAACATTTAGGTACCTCTGCTTTAGAATTATTCTAGACATTCTGTTAAGGGCAGCAGGCAATGACAAGATGAACTGTGTCACAGGTCTTGTGGATTTCGTGGGGATGAAAGATCAGGCTCTGCTCTGGCAGACAGAAGGAATGTGGATGAGTGGGAGTGGGGGCCTCCTAGTTGTATGTCCCATGTTCCAACGTGAAGAGGGGACCCCAGGGACCGGGTAGAAAATCTTCCACTCAGTATGTTGGCTCATTGCCTGTTATTAAGCACTTCACTTGAGATCAGGAGTTCGAGACCAGCCTGGCCAACATGGTGAAACCCCGTGTCTACTAAAAACACACAAACAAAGCCAGGTGTGACATGTGCCTGTAGTCCCAGCTCCTAAAAGGCTGAGGCAGGAGAACTTCTTGAACCCAGGAAGCAGGGGTTGCAGTGAGTTGAGATTGCACCACTGCACTCCAGCCTGGATGACAAAGTGAGTCTCTGTCTCAAAAAAAAACCAACAACAACAAAACTTCCAATCTGCCTATGGCAGATTCAGGAGCTAATTTTCACTTTTAAGTGCTTTTGCATTTGAACTGATGTGTTTGGAAAGGCTGGCTCTAAGGCGGGACTCGTATTTTCTTGGTGTGGCTTCATCTCCAGGTCAATTTCCTGCCTTCAGTGCTGCCCGCCTTCTGTGAGTGAGGAAGCCAGGAGTCGGGGACATCTGGAACCAGAACTGTGGTCTCCGGGTCCTCCAGCACCATTTGCGGTGCCGCCCCCATATGGGTTTCGTGTCCGCCTGCGGCTGTCCTCTCTTGCAGCCTGGGTCTGGGAGTCCTAAACGCCATCTCTCTGTCTACCCGATGGCCCTACTTGATGTTCCTTTCATTGGCACATGGTGGCTGAACTCTAACTGACGTCACCTTCTGTCTTCAACAGAGAGAATGACATCACACCGGTGCTGGACCACACCTTCTGCGTGGAACACAATGCCTTCGGGCGGATTCTTCAGCATGAACTGAAACCTAATGGCAGAAACGTGCCTGTCACAGAGGAGAACAAGAAAGAATATGTCAGGTAAGTCATCTGGGGGGCACAGCCAGTACCTGGGGCACGGATGAGTTTGCATTTAGTTGCTGTGGCTCATTCGCCGTGTGAGGCCTGCGTGTCCCTGATGGCTGGCACTTGTGATCAAATCATAGGAACAGAAGTGACTTTCAGAAACTGACAGCTCAGCAGCCACGTCAGGGATCTGCTTGGAGGGGTCCTGATGGGGCCAGGCCTGCCTGAGGGACAGAGCCCACGTGGGGAAGGACTTTCAAGTGACCACCTAATTCTGGGTGCAAAGTAGGGGGGCCAAGGAGAGAGCAGCTGCTTGGAGGGTCTTGTGGTCAGTCCGAGGAAGCCACCCTGTCAGTCTTTTCCACCTCTGAGTTGAGGCAAATCCATGTTCAGGCCTAGGCACTGGCGCTGAGAAGTGCGTGGGCGTGGCTGTGTGCCCAGTCGTCCTGAGCTGTCCTTTCAAATGCACTTATAAACATTATTAAATGTTTAACATTTGATACAGGGTCTTGCTGTGCTGCCAGGCTGGTCTCGGACCCCTGGCCTAAAGCGATCCTCTTGCTTTGGCCTCCCAAGGTGTGAGCCACCATGCCTGGCCAGAACGTGCTTTCAAATTACAGCAATTGATGTGACAAGTCAGGTGCAATCCTGCTGTTTTCAGTAGCGAACCAGAATGAATCAGGGCACGTGCTGAGTCATTTTTAACGTGATGCCAAGGTTTTGGCACTACTAGCTGGTGGGGATTTTGTGTCTTGGTGGGGAGATCTAGAGGGGGCCCCCAATATGTTCCCATGTTTGTCAGACTGTGATATCAGAACCTGCTCATGGGCTGGGTGTGGTGACTCATGCCTGTAATCTCAGCACTTTGGGAGGCCAAGGCAGGCAGATCACCTGAGGTCAGGAGCTCGAGACCAGCCTGGCCAACATGGTGAAACCCCATTTCTACTAAAAATACAAAAATTAGCCAGGCATAATGGCAGATGCCTGTAAGCCCAGCTACTAGGTAGGCTGAGGTAGAAGAACTGCTTAAACCCAGGAGGCAGAGGTTGCAGTGAGCCAGGATTGCACCACTGTACTCCAGCCTGGGCGAAGTGAGACCCTGTCTCAAACCAAAACAAAACCTGCCTATGGAGGAAAATCCACTTGGTGTTGCATCCAACTTGTGAGTTTTTCTTCCAGGTTGTATGTAAACTGGAGGTTTATGAGAGGAATTGAAGCCCAGTTCTTAGCTCTGCAGAAGGGGTTCAATGAACTCATCCCTCAACACTTGCTGAAGCCTTTTGACCAGAAGGAACTGGAGGTACGTGCCTGCTGTGTGGAGTCCACCCAGGGCGCTCAGGGGCTCCCCCTGTGGCTGGCATCGTCTGCCTGTTTTAAATCCTTGATGCAGGGTGTGGCATGCACTGTTTTCTAGAAAGCCCAGGAGCTGTTGGGGTTCCCAGAACAGTCAGCTGGAGCAACAGTGGGGAGTAGAGGGTGTTTACGTCAGTTGGTAACCAGTGAGATGTCTGCATGGTGGTTGGAAATCTGAATAATTCCCGGGACGCTGTTCAAGGTGGTTGTGGCTTCTCTCGTTTTCAGGATCTCTAGCAGGGAGATCACGCGGCCCTCTCCTTTCCTGGGAGAACCTGGTTCTCCCACAACTTACTGCCTTTTATTCGGGCTGTTACTAGACTAAGAACAAGGGGATACTGTCTCTCCAGTCCTACTCACGCGCTTGAACATAGTGACTCATTCATCCCTTACCATCTCTGGTGCGAAACAGCTCAAGCCTTGTAGATTGTTCTCCGAGTCTTTCTACTGCCAGTGAGGAGAGCCTGGGAGCCAAGAGCTTGGATGGGGCAGTAGTTCTGGGGTGAACTTTTGTGTCTTTTTTTTTTTTTTTTAAAGACAGAGTCTTGCTCTGTTGCCCAGGCTGGAGTGCAGTGGTGCAATCATGGGTCACTGTAGCCTTGACCTCCCAGGCTGAAGCGATCCTACCACTGCAGTCCCCTGAGTAGCTGAGGCTATAGGTGCATGTCACCATGCTTGGCTAATTTTTGTATTTGTTGTAGAGAAAGGGTTTTGCCATGTTGCCCAAGCTGGCCTTGAACTCCTGGGCTCAAGCGATCCACCCAACTTCAGCCCCTACAAAGTGCTGGGAATATAGTGGCGTGAGCCACTGCACCCAGCAGGGGGTACTTTTAAGCAAGTTGCAGAAACGCGTCCCATCTACCCTAGCCCCACGTAACTCTTGCTGAATTCTCCTTTCTTCAGACTTGAAACTCCACATGTCCTTGAGTGTCCTGGAGAGACCCCGGGACATGCTCTTACTCATGGTTAGCTCTGTTCAGTGAACTGGGTGGTTCTTTGAGACTCACTCCTCACCGATGCAGAGCAGAAACCCTGCTTTGGTTATAAGATGATGCCCCATCAGTAGCTGTGCACCGTGGTCTTGGGGTTGGAGGAGGCAGAGGGAGGCATGTCCCACAGGTCTCCTGTTCGATGCTTTCTTCCTGTCTCAACTACTGTCTAGTTTTTCTTTGGACACAGCCGCTGCTTTGTTTGGGAACCGACTTTTCACTTGTGTGTGTGTTGGGTACCTCGGAGGCGTGTCCTGACGTGGGTTTATACATTTTGGGAGTAACTCATCTTTCGGCACCTCCTCAGCTGATCATAGGCGGCCTGGATAAAATAGACCTGAACGACTGGAAGTCGAACACGCGGCTAAAGCACTGTGTGGCTGACAGCAACATCGTCCGGTGGTTCTGGCAAGCGGTGGAGACGTTTGATGAAGAAAGGAGGGCCAGGCTGTTGCAGTTTGTGACTGGGTCCACGCGAGTCCCGCTCCAAGGCTTCAAGGCTTTGCAAGGTGACTGATGGGGAGGCGGGGCTATTTGATATACGTCTCTGCGGGCTGTGGGCAGGAAGAGTGAAGGTGGCTGGGATGTTTTTCCGAGATGTGTGCTAGAACACAGCATAAGGAGTGTTCTCCAGTAATGAATGCTCTGCGCTGCAGAGGTGGCCACCTGGCAGGGGCCGTGTGTAAGCAAAGACTGCAGAGCCACTCTCGGGCACGGGGGTTCCCCCTCTTCACTGCTTCCAAAAAGCCAAGAGGGTCTGGCCAGCAGGGGTCTTTGAAGTGTTTGGGAGGCCTTGCACTTTCCAACTCTGTGAGCCCAGCTTAGCCAAGACCCTGGATAAGGAGCTGTGGGGGAACCACCCCAGTCTCAGTGGCTCCGAAGCTTGACGCTGCACATGAACCCCTACTTAGCCACAACACACCGAAAGGTGCCGTGATGCTCCCTCTGCGTAAGCCACTCAGGTTGCTGGAAGTGGGGGGCGGAATTCAGTGGCGGAGGTGCCGATCTCCCTGCAGGTCATCTTTTACACTTAACGGCTTGGGGGGGATGCTGCTGGAAGGAGTGAGGTGAAGGGTGTCACCGTACTGAAATTTAGCTGGACTGTAAATGCTGATAGACATACAGACACACTGTGAAGACAGAATATTCCGTCTGAATTGCTGGCTCAAAGGAGGTCATCAGGGCACCTGCCTCTTTTCCATCATGACCTCCGCCTATGGATTTGCTGCCAGGGGCCCAGCATGAATAAAAAGGGGTTGGAGGCTGAGACCCGCTTGTATCTGGGAGCCTCCATCTGCTTGACCAGCTTGACCATGACAGCTGCTCCCAGAGCTTGGAGCCTGTTATTTACAAAGCCTTTTTCCTTCAGTTCTCCCAACAACAACCCGGAGAGCCTGGTTGAGCGGGGATTAGCCCCATTCCATGGAAGAGGAAGCTGTGACTCACTGAGGTCACGGGATTTATTTTCCCTCCAATGGGGAAAAAGAAACATGGAAGGTGTGAGCGGTGTGCCAGGGCAGGAATCCAGGCTTGGTGACCATGCCACCATCGTCTTGCCCGTAGCAGGCCCACGTGCTAAACTTTCCTGCTTAGAGAGAATCTCTGTCATTATAAGGGTCTCATCAGTCCCCTAATCAGGTGGACTTTAGGCCAGTGTCCCTGAAGTGTCTAGAAGGTGGGTCAGAGGTGACCAGGGCTCACCTGACAGGGTCACAGTCCAGTACCAGAGTGCTGGTGCTGAGAGAAGGGAATGACTGGTAGCAGGGCCAGGCAGAGTGGCCAGGGCCCTGCAGGAGGTCTCTGAGGCCCTCACTGGGGCATGTCTGGTCCAGCCTGTCCTGACTCCCCAGGAGATCAGGGTGGGAGGGTGTGGACTGTGAGGGAGAGGAGCTAGCTTCCTGCCCCAGGTTCCCCAGGAACCAGGGGGGTGCATTCCAAGACCCTCTGCCCAACATAAAGATGGGATCTCCACTTGTCCTCAACTCTCCTGGATTCCTGTCCTAACACTGACCCTAGCCCAGTCTGAAATGAAAATCTGTGAATATACAGGAGCAAGGGCAGCAAAGCCCAGGCCAGTGGCCTCTGTGCCCCTTCTCAGTGCCGGCAGCCCTGTCAGCTAGCGGTCTTTGTGCTGGCCTGCCTGGTACTCATCTGGGGCTGAGTTTGGGGAGACCTGAGCAAGGAGGGGCCTGGTGCCTCTCCCTGCTCTACAGAATTGGTGAGCCAAGTCATCTATTCCAAAGAGTGGGTATAAATAGCTTTGATGCTCAGGGAACCTATTTGGAGCAGGCTCATGGTCAGAGTATACTTTAGGAGGGTCCTTAGCAGTCCTTGCTCTGCCCCCTGGGATATTCTTAAAATGTCTGAATTGCGGCAGGTGTGGCTGCTCATGCTTGTAATCCCAGTACTTTGGGAGGCCAGGGTGGGTGGATCACCTGAGGCCAGGAGTTTGAGACCAGCCTGGGAAACATGGTGAAACCCCATCTCTATTAAAAATATAAAAATTAGCTGGGCGTGATGGCACATGCCTGTAATCCCAGCTACTCGGGAGGTTGAGGCAGGAGAATCACTTGAACCTGGCGGTCAGATGTTGCAGTGAGCCAAAATTGTGCCACTGCATTCCAGCCTGAGCAACAGAGCGAGATCTTGTCTCAAAAAAAAAAAAGTCTGCATTTTGTCACTCTGATGGCCACTGCAGGCACATCCTAAAACCGGGCCTGTGAGAACTCCACGGCCCTCTCACAGGACAGCCTGCCTGGGTGTAGGGGCTGGGAATGTGGTCAGGGCCCTGGCTCGTGGGGGGCTGTGTGGCCGGGACGCGCCATGACTGTGCCTCTGAAGTGCATTAACTAGAATGTTGTCTTGTAAGGTTCTACAGGCGCGGCAGGGCCCCGGCTGTTCACCATCCACCTGATAGATGCAAACACAGACAACCTTCCGAAGGCCCATACCTGGTAAGCACTGCGGCTGGCAGGTCACTGAGTCCTGGGGCCTGTCCTGGAGGATAGGCGGTCATGTTAGTTTTGTTTTAGACCGAGTCTCTGCCAAAATATTTTTGTCATCATCAGAACTCAAAAGCCACAGCACCTGAGACAGAAAGAAAAATTCTACAGTTGAATGACAATTCTGAAGCCCTCAAGCAAGTGACTTTTTCCCCAACATGACAACATTGTACAGAGCGGCTTTTCTGGCCATGTAACAAAATAGGTATAAGAGGACCAAAATTATTGCTAAACTTGGTGGGGCGTGGTGGCTCACACCTGTAGTCCCAGCACTTTGGGAGGCTGAGGCAGGTGGATCACAAGGTAAGGTGTTCGAGACCAGCCTGGACAACATGGTGAAACCCCGTCTCTATGAAAAATATAAAAATTAGCCAGGCGTGGCGGCACGTCCCTGTAATCCCAACTACTTGGGAGGCTGAGGCAGGAGACCTGCTTAAACCTTGGAGGTGGAGGTTGTGGTGAGCTGAGATCGTACCATTGTGCTACAGCCTGGGCAACAAGACTGAAACTCCGTCTCGAACAACAACAACAACAACATAAATCTACAGCATATTCAGAGATTTTCTCTTGATTTAGTTTTTTGAGATGGAGTTTCACTCGTTACCCAGGCTGGAGTGCTGTGGCGCAATCTCGACTCACTGCAACCTCCGCCTGCTGGGTTCAAGCAATTCTCATGCCTCAGCCTCCTGAGTAGCTGGGATCACAGGTGCCCAGCACCACGCCTGGCTGGTTTTTGTGTTTTTAGTAGAGATGGGATTTTACCATGTTAGCCAGGCTAGTCTGGAACTCCTGACCTCAGGTGATCCGCCTACTTCAGCTTCCCAATGTGCTGAGATTACAGGCGTAAGTCACCATTCCTGGCCTAATGTTATTTTTTAAAGCTGTTTTCTGATTTGTAGGACTGTGTTTCATTTATGCCACGTCTCAGTGAGTGGCAGTAGCGCTGTATCAGATGGGGCAAGTACTTTGCAGCATGCCACACAAAGGCTATCAGAGTCTCTTATGAAACTAATTTTGTGATGAGCATGTAATTAACACTGGTGTTTCAGTGGAGCGTGGCTACCACCCCAGCGTGCTCAAGTCTTCCTTTCTGCCAGGTCTTGTGCACATGTGTGTATGTACATGGCCAGTGTTTCAGCTGGATGTATTAGTCTTCACTTTATCTGACATTTCTGGGTCCCCATCTTCTTGGAATCCTGCTTATGACAGATGCACTCTGTCTATTGACGTTTTCTTCCTAAATTTTAACTTAAAAATGAGTCTCCATAGATTATTCCCTGTATGTTTTAAAAATCCAATCACTTGCACACACTTTGTCCTGGAACCATCCATTGAGACAAGCAGCTGCATCTCCTTGGGAGAACCAGCCCTAGATGCTGCTGAGATGCCCCACAAGGTGGTGGAAAGTTCCTGACTTGGAGCCAAGAATGTGGGATCAAATGTTAGCTGCGACACCGTGACATGCGATTCGGGGCACGTGGCTTCATATTTTAACTTGGTTTTCCACATCTATGAAACGGGGATTAATACAGCTGGTCCTGGACCGTGGTGGGTGCCAAGGCCCTGCTCCGAGATGGCTGTGGTGTCCCATTCTGGGAACGCGCCACATTGGGTGGGCGCCTACTCACGAGGCTTTTGTCCTTAGCAGTTTAGTGCTTGGAATAAGATGGATGTGAAAAGTAGCCTCTGAAGCTTCAGAAAAAAGAGTGCCTGCCCTGGAACCCGGCTCTGTAGAGACAGAAACCGTCCCTAATTGCTTACCTCCAGGAAGTGAAGAAGTCACTGCATGTCCTCTGGGTCACAATTTTGTATTTTTTTGTTTGCTTCTTAAAGGACATTTTTCTTTCCACAAATATTGGAAAACAGTTTCCCCCTGGAAATACAGAGTTGAAAATTGAATATTCATTTCATCTTTTAAGGATTTGTCATCTTACTAGTTTTGGGATCTATTTTGTTTTTGCAGGGAATTTTCCAGACTGCCCCATTTTGGTCTAGATCAAGTCCCAGAGGAACAGACAGACATGCAGTACGTTGTCAGTGATGACGTGCCTGACAGCCAGTCTGGGTTACAGGGGCTGCCAAGGAGGCATTCCCAGCACAGAGAAGACAGACAAACCAAAAACAAGTGGAGAGCACTGTCCTGACAGAAGCAGGAAATAGTTACTTGGTTATGTTTTGGTTGCGAAGGCCCAAGACTTACTCTGCTGTGTGGTAACTGGGCACAGTGGTTCATACCTGTAATCCCAGCATGTTGGAAGGCCACGGCAGGAGGATCACTTGAGGCCAGGAGTTTGAGAGCAGCCTGGGCAACCCAGTGCGACCTTGTCTCTACTAAAAAGCAAAAACAAATTTAAAATCTTTGTATTAGAAGCAGAAAAACACAGAGGGAACACGGATAACTCGTCGCCACCCCGCCCCGCCCCACCCCCATTCCTTTCCCCTTCCCACACACACTTCTTGCCACCTGTCCTTGGCCTTGAGGTTGGTCCTAGGGCTGGACTGCCCATGCAGTGACTCTCATTCTTTTGTCCTTTTTCAGCTTTAACCGGATCGACATTCCACCATATGAGTCCTATGAGAAGCTCTACGAGAAGCTGCTGACAGCCGTGGAGGAGACCTGCGGGTTTGCTGTGGAGTGAAGAACAACCAAAGGCAACAGAGTCTAGCTCATGGCCACCAGACCAAAAGCATCCAGCTTCTGTGCGCCTCCTGCAAAGCTGGCAGAGGCCCTGGAATTCCGGATCATCTGAGGGGAAAGAGTTGTCTCTCTCCTTTCTGTTGCGGGAGGGGGATGGGGGACTTTTGTTGGTGGCTCCCACCCATACATCCCTCCTTATTATAGTACTCCCACCCACTTCCATCACCCATCCAATAAAATGCAGCCAGCCAGGGCCTTTGGCTTCGGTCACACAGGCTATTCTGCTATGGTTGCAACCCATGTGGTGATAAGGCTCACGGCCCTGAGCTCTTCACAGGAGCATTGGCTCACAGTTAGGGGACTGAGCGTGGTTGACAGAGTTTGAAACTGGTGGCTGTCCCAGCTATTCCATCTCAAAACAAACAGCCTGGAGGCCCCTTTTCAATTTGAGCAGCTGCTAGATATCTTACCAGAGCTCAGATTACGAATTTCACATCCCAGCAGCCTGTTATGGGTAGCAGAAATTTCCAACTGAAAAATAACTATATAACGTATGCTTAATGGAATTCTGCCACAGTAGGAAGCTTGAGTCAAAACGTGTTTCCCCTTTGAAAGGAGAAGGAATTGGAGCAGCTTTTCCTGGAGGCCCAGGATATTTCTTTTCTGGGTATCTTGGCTGAAAATTTTGTTTTACAAAACGAGAAAAATGATCTTTCAAGGGTTCCTTTTGCCGCATTATCTGTCCAGTTTGACTTTTTTTCAGTGAAAACACAAAGTCACAGAGTGTATAAAGGAACAGACCAAAACCAGCCCTAGAGCCAACCAGTCAGTCCCAAAGCTGTGAGCTCTGTGCCACTGTTGTCCATAGAAACATCGCCTGTGTCACTGAAAATACTAGTGAACCACAATGCGGCAACTAAGAGCTAAACTAACAAAGTGGTGTTATCATGGCTGCTGGCTTGGTGTGAACTCGCTCAAAAGCAATGGGGAAAGGATAACCTCGAGGCAAATCCACCCAAAGATACTGTCTATAAAAAGCAGGGTGTGGACGCAAACCTGTGACCACGGGGGTTGGGGGCCGACTACACACTGCCTCATGTGGCCCCTTTCCCAGTGGCAGCCGGTGACGATTGCTACTCGGTTCGCTTGCCCAGACGTCTTCGTACAATGAGCAAGGCCAAAAGCAAGCCTAGACTCCAAGCTTCTGACACCATCTACAGTTTGCACAAAAGTCAAACAGTGTTTTATCTTAAGTGGCTTCACGTCGAGTAGCTGAACTTTGGCAAAAAAACAGCAGCAACCAATGTTCCTGTATGGTTTCTTTGTTGTTTTTGTTTGGGGTGGGGGCAAGTACAGGGTAATTCATTAGCAAGACATTTCACTGCTGTCGAAGTCTCTGGGATCCCGCTGTGGGTCTGAGATGGCCTGGGAAGGACCTTGTGGATGACTGTTTTATCTGTTCTTTTTGTCACTGCTACCTTCTGGGCTGCTGAGGTTCTAGAATGGAAGGGCTGCCAAACAAGGTTTGCTGCAGGAGGAAAGTTCAATCCCTTATGCCGAAAGTCCAGGCTAAATGGTGGGCTCAGCTTCTTTCAAAAGTTCTGCATTGCCCCAGGTGGGCGTATCGTGTGTCTCATTCACCATGATGCTTCCTGAGGACGTTCTAGAAGCCCATTCCCCAGTGGCTCTATCCAGCCTTTCCTTGCATCTTCCTCTTGAAGGTGAGGAAGTGAAAACTACAGACCTCCCCCGGAGAGCCCACTCTATCTTGAGCCTAACCTGCGGGAGGCGGGAGAGACGTCCATCCAAGAACTGAAGCGGCCTCCAGGATGAGGTCAGAGGAACTACCTGATTTTCCTGGTGGTGGTATCCAAAATCTGCAGTAATTAGGAAGGAAACCAGGGTCTTGTGGTTTAAAAGACTTTGAAGCAGGAATGTTGCATTTGACGCCTTTAAAACTACCTTTTTGCTGTTGGGAGGAGTCGGAGGCGAGCCTTAGCAGCTGTACCCACCAGCCCCAGGCTGGTCGGTGCTGCCCTGCCTCTCGTGCTGGGTGTCGCTTCAGCCCAGAGCCAGAGGGCTGTGCCCTCCATGGGTGGCCCGGGTGGACACATGCGTTCCCATCCCAGCCCAGCCTCTCTCTGCTTTTCTACTTCCACCTGCGTGTGGGTTTGCCGCCTTGTCATCGGTCGTGTGAGTGTCGCAGGCCTTTCCAGAGCTCCAGTCCACTCCTTCCAAACAGGCCTCCCTGTCAGTGGCACCGCACTCCTAGAACCTTCAGTTTCTCTGATGGTTGGTTTAGTCCTTTTGAACCACCCCCAAGAACTCAATATGGCAAGCAAATGGTAAAGCTCCCAACTGTTCTACTTTGGGTTCGCACAAAGCCCATTCATGTGTGATCTCTGTGTTGCCCTTCTCGGTGGTCCCAGGCGATCCAGCCATGCCCCCTGCCCCTCTGCCCAGATGCTTCAGGGGCCCAACCTTTCAGGCTTGCCCTCACCAGCGGCCATCAGCCGACACTCAGGGATGCAGCAACCACCACTCCACCAGTGCTTTCAGCAGGAAAGAGCTGAGGCTGCCTGGGAGGCCCTGGGCGATGAGAAAAGGGCTCTCTCAAATTCCGAAAAGAGAATCTGCCACCAGATCGAATTCTGACCCCTAATGTGTTCGGCCGTATGGTTCGAATTCAGATTAGGTGGGTCACCAATCTGAGATGTCAGGAAAGGCCTTCTGCAGAGAAAATGTCCCCCCACCCCCCATCTGCAGCCAGGTGTGCCGCATGGCAGCCTTCCCGAAACATAGTATGGATTTTAAAAATTGGTTTATTTTTGTTTCTCAACCACTTTATAATGTATTTTTAATTTATTTTGTAATGTCTTGTTTTTAAGTATTGCTGCTATCCTTCCCACTGTTTTTATCGCTGATTTATTTTGTGAAAGTTGTACACTAATGTTCTGTTTTATGTCAAAATCAAAAGTATTTAATGATATACTAGTTCTATTTAATGTGGTTATGGAACCAGCTGGAAACACAAAACCAACAGTGACTGTACAGCAGGCTGGACCCAGGAGGTCAGGTTCATTTTGTTACATATGCAATAAACTCACGACTTTACATTTTGGCGCCTGTTACTTTGGTGTGGAAATGAGATTCCAGTGTCTTTGCAAGCCCACGAGAAAGGAAGTGTGTAGGCAGGAGTACTGGCAAGGGCCTTCCAAGGACAAAGTTAAGGACAGAATCGTAAGGGAAACTGATGACACTACCGTAGTCGGTTAAAAGTGCTCTATCAAGCAAAAACATGGAATTCAGAAAGTTTAGAATTTCTTTGCACATTTTTTTCCCCTTAAAAAAATTGTAGTAAAAGCTGGGTGCAGTGGCGTACACCTGTAATCCCAGCACTCTGGGAGGCTCAGGTGGGCAGATCACCAGGTCAGGAAATTGAGACCACCCTGGCCAATATGGTGAAACCCCACCTCTACGAAAAATAGAAAAATTAGCTGGGCATGGTGGGGCGTGCCTGTAGTCCCAGCTACTCAGGAGGCTGAGGCAGAAGAATCGCTTGAACCCAGGAGGCGGAGGTTGCAGTGAGCCAAGATCGCATGACTGCACTCCACCTTGGTGACAGAGCGAGACTCCATCTCAAATAAATAAATAAATAATACAATTGTAGTAAAGTTCTGTCAGCCCTACATATTTGTGGATTCCACATCCGTGGATTCAACCGGGGATCAAAAATATTTTTTTGGCTGGGTGTGGTGGTTCCTGCAATACCTGCACTTTGGGAGGCCAAGGTGGGTAGATCATATGAGGTCAGGAGTTGGAGACCAGTTTCAGCTTCTTGGGAGGCTGAGGCATGAGAACTACTTAAACCCAGGAGGCAAAGTTTGCAGTTAGCTGAAATCGCACTACTGCACTCCAGCCTGGGTGACACAGCGAGACTCCAGCTCAAAAAACATTAAAAAAAAAAAAACAAAAAAACCATACTTGCATCAGAACATGCATAGATTTTTCATTATTCCCTAAACCATACAGAATAAAAACTATTCACATGGCCTTTATGCTGTATTAGGAATTATAAGCAATCTAGAGATGTTTTAAAATACACAGGAGGATGTGCATGAGGATGACTTTCTTATTTTTTGAGACAGAGTCTGTCACCTGCTTGGTTAGATTTATTCTTTTAGATGCTATTATAAACAATTGCTTTAAGTTATTTTGTGTATCATTTGTGGCTGGTATATAGAAACATAACTGCATTTGTGTGTCAGTCTTGTACCCTAAAACTTGGCAAAAATTGATTTCCTAGCTCTAGTGGCTTTCTTGTGAATTCCTTACCATTTCCTATCTGTAGGAGATAGCTTTGCCTGTTCCTTCCAATTTGGATGCCTCCAATGTCTTATCTATTAGCTCTGGCTTATACTTCGCAGTACAATGCTGAACAGCTGTGGTAAAAGTGGGAATTTTTGTCTTGTTCCTGATCTCAGGGGGAATGCTTATATATAGTAAAATGCCCTTCTGTATTAGTTGAGATGTACATGTTTTTTCCCCTCTATTAATGTGATGTGCTACACTGATTGATTTTCTTATGTTGAGCCACCCTTCCCTTCCTGAGCTAAATTCCACTTGGCTATGGTAAATAATCCTTTTTTTATGCTCTTGGGGCCAGGCACAGTGGCTCATGCATGTAATCTGAGAACTTTCGGAGGCCAAGGTGGGCAGGAGTTCGAGATCAGCCTGGCCGACATAGTGAAACCCTGTCTCTACAAAAAATACAAAAATTAGATGGGCGTGGTGCCAGGCGCCTGTAGTCCCAGCTACTCAGGATGCTGAGGCAAAAGAATCGCTTGAACCCGGGAGACTGCAGTGAGCCAAGAGCACCACTGTATTCCAGCCGGGGTGACAGAGTGAGATTCCATCTCAAAAGAAAGAAAAAGCTGTTGGATTCAATTTGCTAATATTTTGTTGAGGACTTTTACGTCTGTATTCATAAGGGATATTGGTCTAGAGTTTTCTTGTAGTGTTTTTGTCTGGGTTTCAGATCACAGTAATGCTAGCCTCATAGAGTAAGTTAGGAAGCATTATTTCCTTTCCAACTATTTGGAAGGGTTTGAGAAAGACTGGTATTGATGGAATCCACCAGTGAAGCCATCTGGTCTTGAGCTTTTCTTTGTTGGGACATTTTTGATTTTTGATTCAATCTTCTTACTAGTTACCAATCTATTCAGATTTTCTGTTTCTTCATGATTCGGTCTTGGTAGGTTGTACAGTTCTAGGAATCTATCCATTCCAACTAGATTATTCAATTTGTGAGCATACAGTTGTTCAAAATACACTAATAGTCCTTTATATTTCTGTAAAATTGGTAATAATGTCCCCTCCTCTCTGATTTTAATTGGTCTTTCTTAATCATCTAAAGTTTTCTCCATTTTGTTGATCTTTTTTGAACAGTCTTTATCATTTGTCTAACCTTTCTTTCCTCTGCTATAATATTCATTTTCTTACTGTGGTTAGCTCTGGATTTAGTTTTTTCTTTCTAGTTCCTTAAGGTATAATGTAGGTTGTCCATTTTTAACCTTCTTTTTAATGTAAATATTTACAGCTGTAAGTTTCCTTGGTCATGGTGAATAATCCTTCTTAGCGCTGCTTTCACTACATTCCATAAATTTTGGTATGTTGTTTTCCTTTTCATTTGTCTCAAGATATTTTCTAATTTCCCTTGTGTTTTATTCTTTGACCCATTGGTTGTTTAAAAGCATCCTGTTTCATTTCCACATATTTGTGAATTTCCCAGTTTCCTTCTGTTACTGATTTCTAGCTTCATTCCATTGTGGTCAGAGAAAATACTTTGTATGACTTCAGTCTTAAATTTATTAAGACTTGTTTCATGATCTCTCTGGAGACAGTCCGCTCTGGAGAATGTTCCACGTGCATTTGAGAAGAACGTGTATTCTGCTCGTTGCTGGGCAGAGTGTTTTATGTATGTCTGTTCGGTCCAGTTGATCTGTAGTGTTGTTCAAAAGTCCTGTATTTCCTTATTGATCCTCTGTCTAGTTATTCTATTAATAATTTATTAAAAGTGGGGTATTGGGCTAGGTGCAGTGGCTCATGCCTATAATCTCCACACTTTGGGAGGCTGAGGTGGGTGGTTCACTTGAGGTCAAGAGCTTGAGACCAGCCTAACATGGCGAACCCTGTCTCTAATAAAAATACAGAATTAGCCAGGTGTGGCGGTGCATACCTGTAATCAGCTACTCTGGATGCTGAGGCCGGAGAATCACTTGAACCCAGGAGGCGGAGGCCGCAGTGAGCTGAGATTGTATCACTGCACCCCAACCTGGGTGACAGAGCAAGACTCCATCTCAAACAAACAAACGAGCTGAGTACTGAAGCTTCATACTATTAAAACGCAGCGATTTCACCTTCACCTTTGTTACTGTTTGCTCGACCCTCTGGGTTTATCCTAGTTGGAAAATCATTGAGCTTCCTAAATTTCTATGTCCATTTCTTTCTTCCAATTTGGGAAAGTTTTGTCCATTATTTTTTCAAATAAGCTCTGTCCCCTTCCTGTCTCTCTTCTCTTTCTAGAACTTTCATAATGCCTAAATTGGACATCTTGATGTGTCCCATAAATCCCTTGGGCGCTTCATATTTTCTTTTCGCTCCTCCAGTTCAGTGATTTCAAATGATCAGTTTTCTAAGGTCTCTGATTCTTTCTTTTGCCTGTTTCAGAGTTGGCTGCTGAAACACTGTATTGAATACTTCATTTGTTGTGTTTTTCAGCTCCAGAATTTGCTTCTTTTAAGTAATTTCTATATTTTGTTGATATTCTCATTTTGTTCATCCATCTCTACTCTGATGTCCTTTAATTCTTCATCATGTTCTCCCTTAGATCTCTGTTTTCCCCATGTCTATGCTCTCAAAGAGGATAACTTTGCTGAGAGCAGAGCTAGGATGTAGGATCAAGTACTGGCTTTGGAACATGACCTTGGATTTACCCTGATACAAAAGCCAGGCGCCAAAAGAGAACTACAGACAGCCCCTGTGAATATTGATGCAAGATTTTCAACAAAATACTAGCGAACCAAATTCAACAGCATATTAAAATACTAGCGAACCAAATTCAACAGCATATTAAAATACTAGCGAACCAAATTCAACGGCATATTAAAATACTAGCGAACCAAATTCAACGGCATATTAAAATACTAGCGAACCAAATTCAACGGCATATTAAAATACTAGCGAACCAAATTCAACGGCATATTAAAAGGACTCTACACCACGATAAACTGGGATTTTTTTCCTGGAATGTGGCAAGGAGGGGTCAATGAATGAACAGGTTAAAGAGGAAAAACCACAAAATCATCTTAACTGATACGGAAAAAGCATTTGACAAGGTTTACCACGCTTTCAGATAAAAACTTCCAACAAACTAGGAATAGAAGGAAACTGCCTCAACATAATAAAGGCCGTTATGCAAAACCCACAGCAGACAAGGATGCCTGTTTTTGCCCCTTGTCCTCAACACGGTAGTGGAAGTTTTAGCCAGAACAATTAGGCAAGTGGGGAAAAAAAGTCCAAATTGGAAGGGAAGAGGTAAAATGATCTGTTTACAGATGGCGTGATTATAGAAAGGGCTAAAGAAAAGCGACTATTAGAATAAACATTCAGCAAAATTGTAGGATACAAACATCAACATATAAAAATCAGTTGTGTTTCTGTACACTAACAATAAATAATCCAAAGAGAAACGAAAGAAAACCAATCCATTTACCGTGGCATTAAAAAGAACAAACGGGCAGGTGCTTAACCAATGAAGTCAAATACTTGTATACTGAAAACCATAAATCACTGATTAAAGAAATCATAGGCAGGGCGCAGTGGCTCATGCCTGTAATCCCAGCACTTTGGGAGGCTGAGGCAGGTGGATCACGAGGTCAAGAGATCAAGACCGTCCTGGTCAACATGGTGAAACCCTGTCTCTACTAAAAGTACAAAAAATTAGCTGGGCATGGTGGCATGTGCCTGTAATCCCAGCTACTTGGGAGGCTGAGGCAGGAAAATCACGTGAACCCAGGAGGCAGAAGTTGGAATGAGTGGAGATCACACCACTG